ATATATATATATATATATATATATATATATATATATATATATATATATATATATATATATATATATATTTATTCATATTGTTTTTTAATAAAAGATTAATAAATTATTATATATATTATTAATAAAATTATTTTTATACAAATAGAATTAAATCAAATATAGGAAAACTATTTGATATGATCAATATAAAAATATATATAATATAACAATATAATTATATTTAAATTTTAATTGATAAACTATATATGCTAGAAGTTACATAAAAATAAATTTAAAATAATTAGAAAGTATATATTTTGTATTATAAAATAGAGCAAAATAGAGCTAGAAAAGAATAAGTATACATTTAGGACAAACCATTTTGCACTTTTGAACAAAAAATTACTTTTTGGTTATATACAATATATTAAATACATAAGACAAATTTGCAAAATTACGATTTTATCATTTGAAATAATTTCTCTTATCGCAATTTTCTTTTAAGATGTTATCAGTAATTCTATAATCTAATCATACAATATTAGTTTATACACAAAGAAAAATAAAATAAGGTAGAATTATTATAAAAAAAACATCCTTAAAAAGCATTATTTCATCAAATTTTCTTCAATGAATGGCATTTACATTTCATTACAATGTTACCCAAGAAAAAACTATAATCCAAATATAAGATATTAAAGTATTTGATAGTAAGAATCGCAGCTGATCGTACCTGTCAGATGACAAATCACACGTTCCATAAGAGACCAAGACAATGCTATTACACGAGCTTGTTTTTCGTCGCGAACATAACGAGTACAACAGTAGCATTGATTATGCTCAATGCACGTATAGATTTTAATTTGAAAAGCTTATAGAGTCGTAGAGCTATTTTGTGATCTAACTTTTCCCGTACCTACAACTTCTGCTAACCTCTCCTCACATCCAACTGCCAACATAACAGCTACATAACGCATGTGCGCAAGAGACTGAGCAGGGTTGTGGTTAGAGCCTTCAGACTTGAGAGGGGGAATTTTTAACAGGTTTCCGTAGAATTAAAATTATTTGTGAATATTATTTGCTATTTTATCGTTGTAACATTTTATGTGTAAAAGTATTACAGAATTTGAATCGTGTAATCTCGATTATCATTCATGCGGATTTTGGATTTTAGAGACCATCTCGAATCACACGATTCTATCGGTAAATTAGCGCGATCGGTGATTTAATCGACAGCGTTGAGAAGTGCAGCTACGAAGTTCCATCTCACAGATGAAAACAGGTGGCGTGTCGAACACGAATTGCACGAAAATTTTATGGCATGGCCGCTCTCTGGTCTCTCTCTGACGCCACCATGAGAAGGGTTCGCAGCTGAAAGTTTATCTCGGTGCAAAATAGCGCAAACGGTGTCGCGGGAAAATGACTAGACTTCTACCGTGCTGACAGAATTCTAGGAATTCATGAAATTGAAGAAGCGAAAGAATTTGTGCGCGCAGTGCGTGAACATGCCAGCCAAGGTCTCTAAGAAGGTCGTGGGCTTGATCATACGAAGCCGAAAGTCCATTATGAAGGATGGGGTTATCACGGTACTAAAGATTTCCATGAATCACACTTTGATACTTATCTACCTATGTTAGCAATAAGCTGCTATCTAGCACACCTTCTTCCTCTGACTATAACAAATCTATGTTCAGAGTATGAACAATGTATTATCTCGTTATGTTATCTTCAAGTAGTATTGCATGTAATATTGCATGTAATATTGCAGCGAAGAATGTATATATCTATATTTATGTATATGTTAAACTTGTATCTTTAAATTTAATAGACATCTGGTCACAGAACCTACATAATCAAATAGTACCAAAAATTGATTAATATTTATATTTAAACTTGTGTTCAAACAAATTTGAGGTAAAATAGAGGTACCAATGTCTATGGGTACTTAATTTCTGTTTTTCTTTTATATGTTATGTATAAATAATCTAAGAACAAGTACTCATATCCTTGAGACATAGTGTCAAATCGTTATGTCCCTCAAGTATACTTTGCATTTATCTTACTTTATGCCATATTCTTTTTTATCTTAAACAATAAAAGATATACCATATAATTACGAAGGAAATAATCGAATAATATAATCTATTACTGTGTAGCTGAATAGATTATAAATATATTTCTTTATTAGTTCAGAAAAAGATCTGACGCATGGAAAAGAGAAGTAGTCTTTGAAATAATATGGTAATATACTATAATTTTTCAGTATATATCTTAATTTGTTAGCTTCTGTTTGTTATTTTCATTCTCATCATCAATATTGCTTCAAAACCAATTTATCAAAATTTCTTCTGTTTAATATAATTGATATATATATATATATATATATATATATATATATATATATATATATATATATATATATATATATATATATATATATATATATATATATATATATATATATATATATATATATATATATATATATATATATATATATATATATATATATATATATATATATATATATATATATATATATATATATATATATATATATATATATATATATATATATATATATATATATATATATATATATATATATATATATATATATATATATATATATATATATATATATATATATATATATATATATATATATATATATATGTATATGTATATGTATATATATATATATAATACTTTTATATTTAATGTAAAATATATGTTACTCTCATATTATTGCGTGTGGATGCAAAGATGTAACAAGTTTACTTTTCCTTAATAGCCAATATAACTTTAAGATAATATATCTCAAGTAGTGATCTGGTGTACATAAAGTTGAGAAAGAGACAAGAAAAGACATATTGTTTCATGGCATATTGTTAATTTTCATTACATTATCAGTCATATACATGGAGCGCACAAAGCGACCAAGTGTCACGCGCATCGATCAATTACCATATGATGCGTTCTTGAAAATGATTACGTTTAAATGGTCCATCGATATCATTAAAAATAATATTATAAAACTAAAACGTAGCGAAACGAAGTATCTCTCCTCGCGATGTTGTGGGGGAAGCTCGCGAAGTCGAACGGTCGCCAGCTGTTCAGTCGGTTGTTAGGTTAGGACGAGTCCGGAGTTAGCTCGAAACGATTATAGGCCAGATACGCGTAGGGGGGATCAGTGTAGGAGCAGTGGCAATGCGGAGGTTTGATTTCTCGGGTAAATTGTCAAACGATGTGAACGGATCGTGCGAACTATTGACAGCGCGTCGCGGGAAATCTATGCGAAATATGTGATTGTCGGAGATCTCGCCGAGCAGCCGCTGGCCAAACGGCTGTGATTGTAAGATACGACAGACGAGTTGCGAGGGAAGGAAGCGAAATTCCGTCCGTGGCACGGCAAAGCGTATACTTCGAAACGGCCAACAGTCGCTTGGAAGCTTTCGATAAATATTAATCCCGCGTCGCGAACGAGTCCGTGCGAATAGTGCGAAAATCGCGGGCGAGTGCGCGAGAAACGCTTTATCGCCAACCAAAAAGCTCGCGTTCGTGGAATTCTGTGACGTCACGCGTCGACTGTGATTGCCGTGGCGCGACCAAGTCAAGGCCGTGCGAATCCACTTTGTCAATGGACTTAGTGAACATGTAACGACGGTAGTGTTACTGATTTATAACGGCACGACTACACCCGTTTGTCATGAGGACGAGTCCGTCACAGAGAGAAAGAAAAACATTTGGCGACGCGACACAATGGATGCATGTCACTATCTCAATTTCCTTAAGCTTGCATTTGTCGGCGATGTAGTTAGTCTGTAAATCGCTTCCTTCTGTGGATCTCATAACTTGCCAAAAACCCAATGACGTATTGATTTGGCGCCGTACACCAAAACGATAATATAGAGAGCATTACGAAATTAACTATATCATGTGATTGGATGATCTCCGAGAGATGCTTCTGACATATTCTAAGATGTGTATATCGAGAGATCGCTGTTAGATAGATTTTAGAAGGATGCAGCGGCAAGACGTGTTAGCTTGAGCTTTGCACTGCCATAATAAAGTTCAAACACTGATAATCGATTGCCAGGAAAATGAAAATCATGTCATGCTCTCACAGATGCAATTAAAAATAAAGAGGCACATGACAACAGAGTGAATCTTATAATTAATTTATATTTCTTATTAAAATTCACATAAGACAGTGTATGTGTGAGTGTATGCGTGTATGTATATGGATAATGTCCATAGAAATTATAACAACTATATATATAGATGTGAAAACCAATGATTTGGTGAAATTGTCATAAATCATTGATATGAAATCAGTGTTTTGTATAAATAGACATATATTATTGGTTTTAATCTGCATGAGAAACGAATGTACAATGTAGAGAGATATGCAGTTTTGTTGCAACAGCTTCATTTATAATGCAAGTGCAATATCAGCAAACCAAACAATAATCATATAGCAACAGAATGATAGAAGAAATCATTTGCAAAATAATTAACATAAAATAACAAAGTACACATACATGGTGTATGCATTTCAATTACAGTATAATCTTCTGTATTATTTTGAACATTGAGAGAGAAAGAGAGAGAGAGCTATGAAAAAATATGCAAACTTGATGGTCAAGACAAGCAAACTGAGAGTAACATCGAAGAACAAACCCAAATTTAGTTTAAAACTGTGGAAATGGTGTACTAATATGGCATTAAGAGAAGATTGTCTATTTTTTTATCACACACACGTGAACAGATTAATGACGAAGGCATCAATTAAACTGTGAATATGAAAAGAAATATACATAGTAACACTTCTTAGGGGTCATGCCCCCTGGGGCAAATGGCGGAACAGAGGGCTTGGGCCCATCTTGTTCTGAAATACATAACAGTCAAGATCACACTGTAGCTAAACTCACACCTCCTGTTAGATTTATTCAACAATGCTACAAGCATCTCAAGGTCAGCTGCTAAGATATCGTAAATCTTTTATAACGTGTGCAGAAGACTATATATTTATTTGTACACAAGTTTACCTTATGAGCCCTGGATATAGGCTAGTTTTAGCGTCGCGATTACTATACTCATACGAACAAGTTATCGTACAATTTATATGTAATAATAATATACGTGTTGTATTTTTATTTTTCAGAGTTCCGGCATCGGCGAGGCGAGTGTGTACCATGCATTGGTTGTAATATTTTTGGAATTCTTTGCATGGGGACTCCTAACCATGCCTATTATTTCGGTATTGAACGAAACGTTTCCGGATCATACGTTCCTGATGAATGGCTTAATAATGGGAATTAAAGGAATCTTATCTTTTCTTTCTGCGCCATTGATCGGTGCTCTTTCTGATGTGTGGGGTCGAAAATTCTTTCTATTTATCACAGTGGCCTTTACGTGTGCACCGATCCCCTTAATGAGCTTTAACACATGGTGGTTTTTTGCCATGATTTCCATCAGTGGTGTATTCGCATGTACATTTTCAGTGGTGTTTGCGTACGTCGCGGATGTAACGGAAGAACATCAAAGATCGCCGGCGTATGGTTTGGTATGTGTCATTTATATAACTTAATATTTATTTTTCTTCATATGTGTGTGTGTATGTATGTATGTATGTATGTATGTATGTATGTATGTGTGTATGTATATATCGCTGAACAGATCCTTATGTGACAATTACAGTATGACTTCATTTGTAACAAAATTACAAAGTTTATAGTCGAAAATATAATGTGAAAACTAAACTAGAATAATACGCATTAACAATACGCATTAACAATACCAATTCGGATTCTCTAACTTTGTAAAATAAATTAAATTTTGCTTGCTTCTCAGGTATCAGCAACTTTTGCTGCAAGCATGGTGATAAGCCCAGCTTTGGGTGCTTATACTATGACGAAATACGGACAAAATCTTACCGTAGCATTAGCAACTGCTATTGCAATCTTGGATGTGCTTTTCATACTAGTGGCTGTACCTGAAAGTTTGCCTGAAAAAGCACGTCCACCAGCACCTATATCGTGGGAGCAAGCTGATCCATTCGCAGCTCTCGGAAAGGTAAAAATTTGACGCGTATTTTATTGCATTTATAAAATCTATATATATACTCGAAAAATATGAACTGCTTTCACTTTTTGTATATGCATTACTTTAAACAATAAGGACATAATATGCATAATATACTTATACCTGTATGTATATAAAAGAGATGTATAATTTATTTAACAGGTTGGAAAAGATCATACTATATTAATGTTATGTGTCACCGTGTTCCTGAGCTACCTTCCCGAAGCGGGACAATATAGTTGTATATTTGTTTACTTAAAACTGGCTATGGGCTTTTCTGTTGTCATGGTGGCTGTATTTATTGCTGTGGTGGGCATCCTGAGTGTGGGAGCACAAATTGTGTTAGGGCCCTTGATGAGAGCACTTGGCAGCAAACATACCATAATGCTTGGTCTGTTATTTGAGATGTTACAGCTCATGTGGTATGGATTCGGCTCACAAACATGGTAATAATATTTCTTTACTTGTATTAACAATAATGTGTCGTTGCCAATAATTAACATAACCCATACTTGATAAAAATAAGTAATTAATATTTAATTTCACATAAATACTTTAATTATCACATAAATACTTAAAATACTTAAAAGAAACTGGCGATATAACTTTGTATATATTTTAACATATAATATATGTATATGTGATTTGAGAAAATTATGTATCAATACGTTTCAAAAATATCGCAAACTCGAGCTTCTTTTATCTGTTTTCTTTTTTTCTTATTGAAATAATTTATCTCTTTCGAAATGACAGTAGTTACATATCATTTATCTCTTATCAAATGTCGATTATTTCAAGGATGATGTGGGCTGCTGGAGTACTTGCTTCTGTATCGAGCATCACGTACCCTGCAATATCTGCATTCGTGTCCATGCATTCTGATGCCGATAAGCAGGGATTAGTACAAGGTATGGTAACGGGGATGCGTGGTCTCTGCAATGGACTTGGCCCTGCCATGTTTGGTGTCATATTCTACCTTTTTCACGTCGATCTTAACGATGACACGCCCAATCTACCCCTGAAACCATCTTTAGTGGAGGAAAACAACAGGACGGGTACACATCTTGATATAATGCCTCAGGTATACATATATTATATACAATATATGCAGGTAAGTATAGTTTCTTTTTGTTAGTTTATGTCTTGTTACCAATAACGACGTAAGAGAAAAAATGTATACGTGTACGTAGTGTACTAATTTATCTATTAAAAGAGTAATCTATTTACGTGCGCATAATATAAGTAAAACGCATCACGGCATCACTTAAACGAAAATAAAATCTTGATTTTTTTTTTGTATTTCCAGCTTGTACCAGGACCGCCATTCGTGTTTGGTGCATTACTCGTGATCTGTGCGCTATTGGTAGCCGCGTTTATTCCCGAATCAAATACGATGTCAACGGGATCGTTGCATCATCCATCCACTTCCCGGAGGCCCTCCGGTAAATACGCATATCAGAAATGTACGTTACAGGTTGTCAGATATGCTAAGAGTCAAATGTGTTTATGGTGATGGGATTCGTCGAGATTCTCTTATAATACGCAACACAATTGATTTTTGATGAAAATAATAGTGTATGGGAAATTACGCTTGAAATATCTCATATCTCACTTAGATCTCTGAAAGTCGTCCTGCACGAATAGCATATTCACAAAGTATTCACTGATACTTGTATCGTGCGGTATGAGCCTCAAGGTACTTCTTATTTCAGGTTTATCTTTGGATGTTCAGTACGAGGCAGACCGAGTGGGAAGTGGAAGAGGAAAGATCGGTCCGCTATCACCACTAGTCGACAATTGTAATTCCGCCGCGCTATAGTGTCCGTTTGAAAAGTAAGGCATGCCATAGCACACAATGAAAAACGTTTTAATCGAGCGAGAAAGTCCTTACTTTCAATCGGAGCTCAGAAATCGTCGTTATGAAGTGCACCTGACTCGATGGGACTGTAATAGAGAGTTGTCTATATTGTATTATACTATTTGTTTAAGGCAGTAACTAAGCTTGATTTTAGGACTATCAATGAACTTAATGTTTAGGTTGTGACAAATTTTCACAAGCAGAGCTTGTGCGACATGTACGTGGGTTGATCTCAAAGTCGAGTTATAATCGCACGGCAATGCGGTTATGTTAAAAAAGGCGAAATATTAAAAATTTAGCTCTTCCTTTCCAAGATTCTTGCGCCGACTACTAAATCAGACGTAATGACAGCTTTACGCGAAGTATCAGTGACTCCTAGTTTTTATGCAACTCGCCAACGGCACAAAACAGCACACTAGCGAAAGTTGCAATCAGTATTTATACTAGATTTATGATCAGTATTTATACTAGATTTATGATTTTAAACGATATTCGTTGCTTTGACACTGTTTTTCTCTTTTATTCTTAACTTACGTTATCACTCTTTGCATCAAATGCAAATGTAAATTGCAATATATTTTTTGTGCACTTCCGCATACATTCATACACTAGAAATAGCTTTTACACATTCCTTGTGAGCATAATTTGTGCACACAGAAGAGCATTAAAATAACCTGAAGAAATGAAAATTTTTTGCGAATCGTACTTTTCGTTTTCTTTTTTTTATAGATACGATATATTAATTACTTAATATTCTCGTACATCATCCGATATAATTTAGTGAATATTTATAGATCATATGAGCCGTCTCCTTTTGCACAAACTATTTATTTTATTAGGTAGAAACTATAAAATATAACGAGAAAGGCCTCAACACGCTAGAAACAGGTTATATGAAGTGATAGTTTGTCATTCAAAGGCAATGGTAGACGTCAATATCAATAACAAAAGTGTGTGAGTAACAAAAATGTATTATTAATCATTAATTGAAAATCGGTAGTACTTTTACAATGTTAAATTGTGCGTGTTATAATCGGAGTCATTGATGTTAAACAAAAAAAAAGAATCTATGATAGAGTAGGGCCTGTATGTATTTTTTGTTTTATATACATTAAAACTTATAGGATGAATTTACTTTGTCACAGTGGAATTGTTTTTAATAGTTTAAATTATTCCGATGTACCATTGATCGTTTACGAAATTTATAATATCATTTCAACCTGTAATATTATTTAGCCACAGTATATTTATGTGAGAAATTAAATTGTTTGAAAATACTTCTAGGAAACAATAGTAATATTAGTTATTCTACTTAATTGATTTTGAATGTGCATTAAGCTATTATGATCTTAAAATTAGCCTCCAAGCCAAAGAATGATTAATGATCGAAAAATTAATTGAAAGATAATAAATCCAGAGATCCACAGATACTCGCGTTTATAATGTGCAATACCTTTACCGTGTACGATCGCTGTTTGACAATTTTTATGTTTCATAAATTTTGATATTTGTACACTTTTTCGTGGTTATTTCCCAAAAGAGTCCAGTGATAAAATAGTTATTTGATGGATATTTAATGGATGATATTACACGATCTTTGTGAATAAAAATAAGCATGTATTTTATACATGTTTAATCTAAGTCCTTATTTATATACATCCATTAGAAGCGAAAGAAGAAATTACTATAATTGAAGGTTTCAGTCGATATGGTGAAAAAAATCCATAGCTTATGACTTTTGTCGCGAATGTATCAAAATTATATACGTTTTTTAGATTTTAGCTGTCAGTAAAGTATTACAGGACGAAGAGTAGAAACCTTGAGCAAGTGTAAACAGTGCAACTGCAGTTCTATAGTTTCAGTTCGTATTTCCTTAGAATTACTTACAAACTTGCTCTGATATCCTGGAGTAAATATACACAAATGTATTATAAATACAAAGCAAGAGCAGGAAAATTATAGCATTAAGGATGAATAAAACATAGAGATAAGTCTTGACTCTTATGGGTTAAGTAATTGTATAATGTATAATGTATGATGAATGCATTAATAAAAAGTAATTATTTTTAAGATAATTGAGAATACCATCTAAAAACTCATATTTAAAGTGTATAAAATTTCTTTATATTGTGAAAGACTTTCTGTATTAAGATAAAAAATGAAAAAGTAAAAATTAGTGAGATAGGAAAAAACATCCTGCAATAAATTACTATTTCTTCATAAGAGGATTTTATTAATATAAAGTAAAGCGATTTTGATGTCAAATTTAAATATTGCAATACGTATATTCCTGTAAACGTATATATGTATATACCAATGAGTAATTTTAATATTTATTTAACAAAACTGGAAAATAGATATTCGTAAAATTAAATTAAATATAGCTTAGGAAAATCATAAGCAGTCTTAATGCCGATAATTTTACAATTTAGTATATATCAATCACAATGCATTTTTGTACAACACTAACTGTGCTTTGTAAAATAGGTGTCAACTAGTTGACTTGTTCCACTTTGTTGCATTGATTCAATAGCTTTATTGACTATCACTTCTGATGTCTCTTCTGTTATCTAAAAGAAAAATTGTAGAATTTGAGAAAATATATGCATGCATATCATGCTATATTACAACATTGTAATTTAACTGATAGCCTTACATTATTAATGGTATCCAATACATTATCTATACTTTCACACCTTAATAATAGTCGCCTTAAGGTGGTTAATGTAACCACAGCCACAAAAACTAAAATTCGATATGCACCAACTGTTATTTTATCCCATATCCTATAACAAATACACATTTAGTAATCTAAATGCTGTTGCCAATATCAAGATTCAGTAAAAACATGACAGTATAATTACAGTTTATGTACACATATTATTCCAGTACATACATACTTAGCAATAGATCCATCACATATTGTGCCAGCAAAACATGAATAGAACCATGTGTCATATGGAAGATTATAAAGCGTATCTATTTTAATAAGATGTTTATATAACTCCACATCTTCTCTTTCTAATAACACGTGTGTACATTCCTGTAATCTTCCCACTTCCTTTTGTAATTTTTCAACCTGTACAAATAGTCCACATAGTATCCAGTACATATCTACCAATTTTTCCTGTTCAGATTCAACATCAATTACATGCCACAGTGTTTCAGCCATTTTCCCCATCGCTCTAAAATATATAAAGCTCTATTTTTATGATACACATTTATAATGAAATAATATTAGATAGCCCATTAAAAGAATTTTTAATAGATTGAATTTTCTGATGTAAAATTTTATTTTAAAATTAAAATAATATTAATAGTAAACCTGTGTAATGGTGATTCCAACTGTGCAGTCATGTCAACTTTTGCTCTTCTTGTACGTAATAGCCACATTGCTAGAAATACTAAGTGAGGTTTTGTATAATCATCTATGATTTTTGCAACTTTCAGTGCTTTCTGTAAATCTTGAAATTCTGCCGTACGTTGAGTCATTATAAATTCATGGCTATCTACATAAACCGGTATAACATCGAGTAATACCTTCCATAAAAAATTTCTGTGCATAGCAGGTACAGTGAATCTCAGGCAAAACTGTTTTAATTTCGCTTTATCGAAGGGACGCTCTTTCAATAATATTTCCAACGACTTTTTTTCTTCGACGCTGCGAAAACCAACCTGTTATTCAGAAATAATGTTAAAAACAGTTTTTTTAGCGATAATATAATAATTTAACGGAGAAACCAACAATAATAGTCTCACATTAATTTATACGTTATATATAAATTTATGCTTACCTTTTCATAATATGACGAGCGAAAATTTCGTTCGTCTGTCATTGTTTGAGCGTAAATCTCATGGAAGGTAAACACAGAAATAAAGACGAAGTTATGTTAAAATTAAATAATCGAATTTTTTAGAGACATAACCTATCCACATGATGACAGTTCAATGTCGCACTAGTCGGTCAAGTTAGGTTGTAAACACCTAACTTTACGACTCAGTGCTGCTAGGTGCCTATTATCGCATTTCTCGTCTATACACGAGGCAGGTGTACTTGTGTGTGAGAGATGTTCATATAACCTATTTATTCCGAAAATAAGTCACTGTACATATGTAAGTTCTATCACTTTTATGGAATCTTGGATCACCATATGTTATTTTGGATAAAGAGAATTATCATTTCGTACGATACTTACGCAAAATCACTATTAATCATCCTCATTCCACATAATATTGCATTATAGTTCTTTGCATCTGTAATCTTATATTTGATCTCACAAGTAGCACGATATATACAATTTCTCGTTTGTTTATATATATTAGTTCGAACTTTTGAGCGATTTAACTGTATTCTCTCATATATAAGTCATACATATTTATGGGTTTCCCCTGTAAATTCTTTTTTCTCTTCTGATTAATTAATAACATAATAATGGTTGTAATTATATCTTTTCAGATAATATAATTATGTCTCAGGAAGAGGACTTGGATGTAAATAAAGCTTTTGAGAACTTATTATTTGCAGAAGAAATCGCACAAAAATCAGCCTACAAAGAAGGCTATCAAAGTGGCAAAAAACAATTGTTAAAGGGATATCATCTTGGATATCATAGAGCTAGTATAATTGCTGCTCAATTAGGGTATTACAGTGGAGTCTTGGAGCAATATCTACAGAATAATGACAATACTTGTAAGAAAGCGGTAGCAATAGCCAAAACACTTTTGGAAGATATACGTAGTACTTTTCCTGGACATCAAGACGATAACTTGGACATCTTGAAAGCTCTAGAAGACATCAAGTTCAAATATGCTAAATTCTGTTCATTAGCAAAAATTAATCCACTGTATCCTGAAGCAGATAAACTCGAGTTTTGATATAATAACAATGGCAGAATATAGTAGTCACTTTGAAAAAGTATTGAATTTTACAAGTATTTATCAAGAATTAATAAATTGTCATTTAGTTGATTTCATTACCAACAAATTATGGGACAAATGTATACCAGAGAAACTTAAATCAGAACTGGAGAGCATTAATATGATTGATGATATTTGGACAGGAAGTAATATGAGCTCGGAACTGAGCAATTTCATACAACTAACAAGATCACTTTCTTTGGAATCATGTCCGGCGGTTATACATGTAGATGATTTGCCAAAATTGTTACCACAATTTCTCAATAAGGAACAGTCAATTAAAAGTAAATTGATTCATCAAAAGTTCGAGCTTATGAACAGCAAAAAATCGTATGAAATACGAGTTTTAGGAAAACTTATTGCTGAAATAGCGCTTTGCACTGGCAGTTTAGTAATAGACGCTGGAGCCGGAAAAGCATACTTGTCGACATACTTGTCAGAACATTTTGACATTCCTGTATTGGCGATTGATTCATCACAAGTTTGTCATAAGGGTGCAGTGAATCGTCAGGAAAAGATTCAAAGAAGAAAACAATCGTTAACTAAGGTTTACAAGATTTATATAACTGATTTACAAAATCTTGTAAGATATAACTTATAAAATTTTTATATTCTTTTCATTGTAGGTTCGATACATTGTTCAAGAGTTAACTGATACTACTGATTATAACAGTATGGTGAATACAAATTATCCCGATTGGTGTTTAAACAGGAATCTTATTTTAACAGGATTACATACTTGTGGAATGCTTGTTCATTCTACGATTAGAGCTTTCTTATGTTCAGAGGACATTAACTTGCTCTTTATAGTACCATGTTGTTATCATTTGGTAGAGGAATCATTGAGTGGTAGTTGGAATTTTTCTAAGAATGCTCGAATGTTGGCTCAACAATCAATTGAAAGGAGCAAACATAACAAGCATCTTTCTCCATCGTTATTTTACAGAGCTGTATTGCAAGTTGTTTTACATTCCATGGGTCAGTCAATATAACAACATAGATATTTGTAATGCTAAAGTATATATGTATTATAGAATTTAACTGACATGTAATCTCGTGTTATCTTCAACAGGACATTACAATACTAAAGTTGGTCGTGGTGGGCCACTGGATAATTTTGCAGATTATGCAAAATGGGCTTTATCTAAAATTGGTATGGATAACAAACAGGTATGTATATGTTAACGTGTTGATATCATTTTTTGTTATTTATTCAAATGCTTTATAATATGTTCCATATGCTAGCAATAATTAACTTTACAAAAAAAAAATATATATATCGTTTTAGATACCATCTGTTGATATGCTACAGCAAATATATGAAAATCACATACACTTTGAGCCCAAGTTGCGTCTTTTTCAAATGTTGAGAATACATATAAGTTCAGTGGTGGAAGCAGCGATTATGTTAGATAGAATAATATTTCTACAAAATAGCATCCAGTGTTCCAAGGTTATGGTAGTGCGCTTATTTGACCCAACACTATCTCCCAGATGTTATGCAATAATTGCGGTTAAATAAATAAATACGGAAATGAAATATATGCAAAGAATAATAAAACTCAATAGATAATATAAGAATATAATGAATTTTCTGCGTTAATAACATTATTATATCTCCGACTGTCCGATGTACATTTTGATATATTCATAAAAAGTACTACGAAAGAAAGCGAAAATATGAAACAAGATTAATTTCTTAAATAATTGCTATCAATTAAGTTGGTGTTTATAGAACAATCTTATATTTCAAATTGTCTTAAGGCTCCTGGGGAGTCGCATCATCCATTTCTTTTTAATGACGTCAGAAACGAGAAAACGCATGCTAAAAATTCCTGCAAAGCACGTCGAGATAAACAGATATATCCACAAAACGACATTTGCGATCGATTAAGTACACTTCTAAAATACTTCGTACACTTTAGTTCTAACAATCACAGATAATTATAAAATAAATGTGACGTGCAATCGTCTTTTTTAACCTAATTTCCTCATTATCTTGTTATATTAATTTTTCGATTATCTATTAATTTTTAGAATAAAAGGAAAATGTACAAAGTATTTTAGAGGTGTATTTAATCGATCGCAAATGTCGTTTTGTGAATATATCTGTTTATCTCGATGTATTTTGCAAGAATTTATAGTGTTTTCTCGCTTCTGACGTCATTAAAAAGAAATGGATAATGCGACTCCCAAGGAGCCTTAAATTTAAAATTAAAACTATTATTTATTCGCGATTATATTTCTCGTAATACTGTAATGATTGATGTGTTTATATTTATATAATAAATTAGAATAATACAATAATATTAAATTACTCTATATCTTGTAACTCTGCTGCTTGTAGGTAATCTTTAACAGATGCATATCCTTCATTCTGCACCATTGGGGCTAAACATCCTGTAGGACGAAGCCCATTTCTATTTCGACATATACTACAGTTGCATAAACCTCTACATGGTGGACAAGCCCAATCCTGAAAAATTGTATTAAATTATAAATTTTGTGTAAAAGTTATAATTTCTATAAAGATAAAAAAAGAGACCCTTTTTTGTTTATTTTATTAAGAGAAATAATTATAATATTGATGTAACTACATACACATGTATGTATATATATACAAAGTGCAAAGTAGTTTTATATATATCATATTTACCGGATCTTTTAGTGCTTCTACAGCACTTTCACCATATCTTCCTCTTAAGCACGGTCCACAAAACTGTCCTCTAACACCTATGCATTCTCCTGATCGGCAAACTGTTTTTGTATCTAGAGTTTTCTGTCTACATTGGTGGCAAGATGTACCACTAACTTTACAATATATTTTCTTGGAACTTCTTTTTGCTACATTTTTTAACATACTTTCTGTAATCTCATCCACAGATGGTACATTATCAGGATCGTATTCTGATTTATGAATTCTGCGTCCAATTCTCTTTTGTGAGTTGTCGTCGAAATAATCATTGCTATATTCCTCATTGTCTTCTTCATCTACATCACATACTACTTTCATTAAATCAATAGAGCGTTGAAATGGTTTTGCCCAAGGAAATAAAACCTTCAGTCCAGATTTATACTTTGGAGATTCGTTTTCCTCAGTCTCATTATCAGAATCACTGAATCTATTGATGTTAGATGCTTTATCCTTACTTCTAGTATTGTATGTTCGACGAAATTGTATATTTGTACGTTGGAAATTTTCAGAGTCCCCTGTAATCTTTCGACGTCGTTTTTTGGGCTGTTGGTTCTCAGAATCACTTCCACTCCATTGTTTCTTTTGTACCTTCTTAATTTTGTCTGTTTCTTCCTTTAAATCTTTGAAAAAATCTGCAAACTATATGAAATTTATTAAAAATTGACATTTTTCATAGTGTAAGTAATATAGGGTCATTTTTATCCTTCTTTTTGTATCTTCATTTTTTCTTGTGTTTGGTTTTTTCTGAAGAATAATGCTCTATGACACATTGATTTTACTTTTCCAATTCTGAATAATAAATTTATATTTTAAAATTGCTGAATTATTTTTTCATTTATATCTGTTTGCTTATATGCATATTCTCAAAAAAATAAGTAATCTTAATAGAGAGAGAGAATCCCAGTTCTCTCTTATTATTTCTAATTATTTCCTTTATTTTTAAACATATCCTTTTTTGATCCATTTTCCTATTGTTTCTCTGTCTCTTCTTCATAGTTCTTGTATTGATACAAAACGTAGCTATCATCTTTCTTTGTTTCGCATAATGATAGTTCGAAGGCTTGTTTATTTTCGAAAAATTTCTGAACTAGGCAATAAGTAGAGTGAAAGAAAGTATTGCTTCACTCTATTGTACTAATATGCAATAGTGTAAAAGTTCTTCGAAAACGAGCAGACGAGTTGGAAATAAGGTTAGTAATTTCGTTAAAGGCAAAAGGATACTTACAAAAGCTGTTCTTTCGGATATGTTTTTCTGCCGAAGAATTCCGTAATCATTTTCACCCATAGTTTTAATGAACAAAACATTAACTATATTAAATAAGAGAAACTCGTTTAAAAGTGACGCCAGTAACAGGTAGTCGTTTTTAACAGTTGGTTGAAATTTAAACCTGTTTATTCTCACAGGGGATCAGTGATGAAAGGTTTGAGAATTTGGAACGCATGCGCAGTAACACAAGCGTGTGCAGTAGCGTATACATATCGCCGTAATATTGGTATTTTTATGCTCTCTTCAGCAAAGGCAAAGAAAATGTTTAAAAAATAATGTAAAAATGTAAAAAAAATTTTAAATGTAAAAAAATAAAATTTATTTTATTATTTATAAAATGTAAAAATAATAAATTTATTATATATTTGCGTCTGCAACTGACTTACATAATGAATACCAGCATTTACTGAAAGGAAATTGCCAAAAACCTTACCAATATTCTGTTATTATTAGAATTGAATACGTTCTTATATACATGCCGTATATACATTGTTACTATGATATAAATATAAGTACTGAATACACAATAAAACATTTTATATATCTCATTCGATTGTTTCACACTAATAAAATAGCTGAAAAATTACATGGGCTCCAAGAAACGTTTGCCACATCATGTAAGTACGAGTCTGTCGGTGCGGTCACATGGTTGTGACGTCACTCGCGCACAGTCCGCTAACTTTTTCTCAAACCTTCCATCACTGTATGGGATGAGTGAAGAGGGGCAAATTTGCACATGCGCAGTATGCGAATTTCGTTAGTCCTCAGTCGTGTACATATTCTACAATATAGGATATCGTTAGAATCCCCTTGCAGAAAAGAAATATAAGACTTGTTAAATTAAATGTAAGACAACTGTTAGAAAATAGGCAATAGAATATATAGGTTGAAATAATAAAATATATTAATTTGTTGTATTTGCAATCGCGACCATGTGAATAATATTTAATTTCTAATAATTCTCTCATAATCCGCAAGTACGAATAAACATGGAATAACTTATATTATTGAAATAAAAATTCGTTATTCAATCCTGAAAAGATTGATATATTATTTGGATAGGCGATAATAAAAATATAAAAGCTTATTTGGGCCCCACACAAACCTTCTGTATTGTATCAAAGTACGAGTTTGTCGAAGTGATCATGTGAGAGATTGTGGTATAAGTTTGCGTACACGAGGTCTAGCTGCACGAGTTTGTCTATCTCTCTCTCTATCTCTCTATTTCTAAGTCTATTAAATTTCTATATGCTCTCAAGTATTGGAAAGAATAAAAAAAAACAGAAGAGTGTTCAGAAGTTACAGTTAAGTGAATATAGCCACACTGATGCTGATTTAATACTCAACGTATACATACAGTTTAGAACTAAGTAGATTTACAATCTTTTTTCTTCATTTATATTTGTCTCTGTTGACTGTGTTTACATCCCAAACAACATAGATCTCCACAGGAGATCTTAAAAACGGTCTGAGAACGCGTCTCCAGAATATCCTTTGAAGATCTTGTGCTGTCTGGGACGGTACAACCGGTTCAGTAATGGTTGCGTTCGTCTTGTTTGCTTTCACGTTAAAACTGTCATCATTCAATCATCTTTGTGCGCACAATAAGGTAGACGTTTAACGAATAAGATGGAATGTCGCTTTGCCAGACGAATCAAGATTATGACTTATGATTATAATGACTTAAGGTCATTTGACTTATTTTATATTTGATAATCTTCGATATTGTAATTGCGGGTGTTGCATATCATATAACAGTCACGTTAAAACTGTATGTTGTATAAGTTGTAAGTTGCCGCATAAATATAGTCATAATTCGATACAAATTACTTAGCTAAGATTCGATCTGTACTTTGCCGAAATTCAAACCACTTGATCAAAGTCTATATCAAATTAGATATTAGAAATCGAAATTTGTGAATCAATAACTGAAACTTGAACAGATAGCACAGAGAATTAAAAAAGAATTCAAAAAGAATTCAGTCGTATGTCACCAATTCTGAGTTCATTTTCAGATGTAAAAAGAATTTTTCAGAATTCAGTTCAGTGAAAAGAATTCTTTTTATATCTAAAAATGAACTCAGAATTGGTGACATACGACTGAATTCTTTTAGAATTCTCTGTGCTATATGGGAGGTTAAAGCGAGCTAGAATGGAAATTAGATTAGAGAAGATTAGATTAAATTAGAGAATTTCCAATTTTTTTTATTTTTTATTCGTAGCAGATTCTCGCACGGAGCGACATCTCATATCACTACGAAGATTCAAAAATAATTTCCAATATCCTTGCTTTGATATAGTAATAATTTCCAATATCCTTGCTTTATGAATTTTCACAAAGTAACTTTTAGGTGGCGTCAGGTAAACCGCCCACGCGTTTTAGCAGCTAAAACAATATGAGTTACAAGAGAGAGAGAGAGAGAGAGAGAGAGAGAGATACAGTGTTAACATTTATATCTTCTCAATTAAAGAAAGAGAATTTTATTGTTTATTGTTATAAGGTATGTTTCACGATATATGTAAATGTGTTTATGTTTAATTTTCTCTAGAAAAATGTCGTGTATTTCTAATGCTGAAATTATTTAACGAATATCGCAGTTTTTTCATATTTCGTGGCTATTTATGCAAACATACCGAAGTTTCCGCGAAGAAATCTTTCATCTTCTGAGGAATAAGGAAGGTTTCTTTTGAGGAAGATCGTTTTTTCGCGATGCTCATGAAACGTATCACTTGTTACGCTGAGAATGTATCGTACCGTTATCGATATACAGATGGTGTGCGTTTGTCAGGGATGGATATATCAATGTCAAATATCGAAAAGCAGCAAGATTTGTACGCTTTGAGAGTAGACGAAGGGGACACGTTACAACATTCCACGGTACACTCTGTGCTTGAGACACAATTTAAGTGATCTACACGCGGGGCCGCTCGTCCTTGTCAGTGCGATTGGAGCCGCTGTCGCAAGTTCGTCGGTGCTGACGAGTGTATTAATTGTACCGGGAGTATAATTACGGTCTGTAAGTGTTTAAAAGTGTAACAATCTGTATATATATTAATTCTTTTGTGAACGGAATTCGTCGGAATAAGCATTTTACAACAAATAAACGAGTTTTCGTAAAAAATAATCTGTCTCCAAACATTTCAGTATCGACTTTCTAAATATTAAATTTTTAACCACTTAATGGCTTCAGTGATATAATTTAAATTTATCCGAGAATGAAGACAATTGTAGAATTCAACAAAAGTTCTTTCATAGTCGTGATAATTATTGATTAATTGATTGCGGATACGCGATTCGATTATTCATACTTCGCTGCTGCAAATTCAATTTAAATATATGTAATGGGAAGAAAGTTTTTAATTGCGGATATAATCGTTATGTAATTTATATGATATAATTATTACAATTATATTACATTATTTATAATTTATAAATTCAAAGTCACAAATGTACATATATCTATATTTAAATAAAAAAAAAAACTATTAATAAGACGCGTCAGATTATACCAAGCATGTTCCTTTTATTAATATGATAAAATCTGCGATATTAATATGATAAAATCTCGCGAATTATTCGGGAAACTTTCACTTCTATGTAATCGTCGCGTGGCCGAATAGCAGCTGTCGCGAACGCTTCGTTTCAATTTAATCGACGAGCCCCACTCGGCTCACGGTCGAAGAATTCTAATGTCGTGTCTCTTGGTCGTAATTCTGCAGATTATTGTCGTGTGCCTTAATTAACAAGGAAGTAATTCAGTTTCTTCAATGGAGCCATTAGCGAGAGTAGCATTGCTAAATATCAAAGGACAGGCGAAGCTATTGCGCCCTCAATCTCAGGTAATGTAATTGATATTAATTAGTATCATTCAATTTTTTTTATTGTTGAATAACTTTTTTGATATAAATTAAATAAATAAATATTCAAGTACCGCGCTATATATATCTCTCCGACTCATATCTTCCAGAACAATTTGTCCTTAACTAAATTTACTATCGCGTCCCTTGAGATGTTTATGTATACATTCTTCACAAAAAGTATTTTGGAAAAAGAGATATTTCAAAAGTGAGAATCAACTCAGACGTTTTTTTCGTTTCTTCCAGCACATTCGGTGCAGCAGGACGCTCACGTCCCAACAAGTGTTCGATCGTGAATCCAAGTACGGCGCACATAATTACCATCCAATTCCGGTGGCTGTGTGCAAAGCCGAGGGTGTTTTTATGTGGGATGTCGAGGGTAAACGGTACTTCGATTTTCTCAGCGCTTACTCGGCAGTAAATCAAGGCCACTGCCATCCGAGAATCTATAAAGCGATGATCGATCAAGCGAAGAATTTGACTCTGACGTCCCGGGCATTCTACTCTGACGTATTGGGCGAATTCGAAGAGTACATCACGAAACTTTTTGAGTATGTAATAGTGTTAACTGTGTAAATATCGACACCCGTGTCGATAAGATTAGTCGGTGATATAACGATATTTTTTTAAGTTTATCAGTGACAGAGTTGTTTATCTGTCAGTAGTTATTTATCGCAAATAAGTGCACGCGTGTACGCCTGATATACATTTGATAACAGTACTTCGGAAAAGTACAGTTGATAGATTTAATTATCAGGAAATGCGGATCTCGTGGAACACGATGCTGAACGGGATTTAATCTTTAGGCTTCTTAGGATCTTAAATTCAAATCTTTAGACTGAAATCGAAGGATATAATATCTAAAAAAGTAAGCACTGATAAAGGTGACAAAAAGTGATAACACAGTCGTCCGTTTTCTAACGTAAAAATCTTGTCCGCTACCTTTGACTGGTCATTAGAGAGATCGACATTTTTTTCTTCCAGATAAATTCTTCCAGATAAATTCTTAAATCTAGCCTTTACAATTACCATTATAGCCTTTACAAGATTATAATTTTATTATTGACGAGCATATAACGCCGCCGTTACATTGAGTTGTTACTGAAAGAAGAAACTTGTAGCAATAATGGTGTTACAAGTAATGCATTACTTTCTGACATTTTCCCAGTGAGACTAACACGTGTCGAATTTTCTTATGCAGTAGATATTTTTCAGTCTTGTATCGAATCTGCGATACTAAAAATACATTTCATATGTATTCAAGATATGAGGTACAGCACGAGATACTGCACAAGTCTAAATAAGTACGAGATAGTAGCGCTAAAGGATGACAAAATTTTGTCACGAAATCATCTATACGTGACGACCGACCGATAACCGCTGGCACATATAGAGAGAACTTTTCTACGGGATTTTAACGTTTATAAGAATTAATTTGCTCGTCTAGGATGTACTCATATTATTTGAAATATTCGAAGCAGATATAAGAATGACAAAAAAATTAATGCTCTAAGAATGTTATGTTTCGATCCTTGTTTTTGGACCTTTTTTAGTGCGATTATATTCCAGTCGCGTGATACAAAGAATGGTATATTATTTAAAAAAAGTTAAGTTAGTTAAGTTAGTTTTAATAAAAGTTCTCTCCATATGTCGTATATATGTGACAACGAAGTTTCATCAAAATGTTAATATCAAATCTGTAAAATATGTCCAGATTTAATATTTATTAATATTAAATATATATATTTTAAATTTTTCTTTCAGTTACGACAAATGGTTGCCGATGAATACAGGCGTGGAGGGTGGCGAAACGGCGTGTAAGTTGGCGCGCAGATGGGGATACAGCGTCAAGGGAATTCCGCAAAATAAAGCTAAGATAGTGTTCGCGGAAGGTAATTTTTGGGGGCGAACCATGAGCGCAATCTCTTCCAGCACGGACCCGACTTGCTACAACGGCTTTGGGCCTTACATGCCAGGCTTTGAAATCGTTCCCTACGATGATCTCAAAGCTCTTCAGCAAACTCTCGCCGACCCGAACGTTTGTGCCTTCATGGTAGAGCCTATTCAGGGTGAAGCCGGCGTCGTAGTACCAAAGGTAACGCCAATCGTACCAATATACTTTAAATTCCTTAGAGTGAGATTTCATATAAAATGAGTAGAATTTCGCTTAAAGAAATTTAAAGTAATGTATATATCCAAACGTTCAAGTGCGAGAAAGCAATCGTTGAGAATTCATTCACTCCTATCGATTCGTGTCTTCATTTTAAACAGGACGGATATTTGAAAGGAATTCGGGAACTTTGCTCCAAGCACAACGTCCTGTGGATCGCGGACGAGGTGCAAACTGGTCTGGCGAGAACCGGAAAGCGACTCGCCGTCGATCACGAGGCTGTAAAGCCGGACATCTTGATCCTCGGCAAGGCCCTGTCCGGAGGATTCTATCCGGTTTCCGGCGTGTTAGCCAACGATCCTATTATGCTCACCATCAAACCCGGCGAGCACGGTTCGACCTACGGCGGCAATCCTCTCGGTTGCAGAATCGCACTTGAGGCACTTCGCGTTTTGGAGGAGGAACGACTCGCTGAGAACGCGGAGCGACTCGGTCACGTACTCAGAAGCGAACTCAACAAGCTACCTAGAGAAGTGGTCACCTTGGTGAGAGGCAAGGGTCTCTTGAACGCGATCGTTATCAACGACAAGATCGATGCCATGGACATTTGCTTGAAATTAAGGGAAAATGGCCTCCTAGCGAAACCGACGCACGACCACATCATTCGCTTGGCGCCGCCGCTGGTTATTACGAAAGACCAGATTCACGAGTGCGCGAACATAATTTCTAAGACTATACTAGGATTAAATTCGACAGCCACGCGTTGAATAAAAATTATTATAATTATATTATTATGAAAATTATCATATTATTAATTATATCAGATTGTGAAAAAAGACACACATCCGTGGTAACGTTAAAATGCTATTATTGATACCGATTTATATTTACATGTATTTTTTCTAATAAAAGTATAAATCTCAACTTTAATATCGTCGATATGTGTGTGTCACACATACACTTGCGTCGCGCGTAATTTTATTAGAACAAAGTGCAACGCCCGTCACGATCGTTATCTCGACAACGTTCGTCGCGCGATCCTCGGAGTGACGTTAATGTACAGCTCGTGTGCGCGTATATACTGTATCGAAAAGCGCTCTTTCCGACGGCTTACTTTTGACAGATGGCAGTTATCAAGCGTTTGCCGCGAGGATTAAAACGGAACTGAATCGAGCTGACGTATAACCGTTAACAATTATGGACGTCGCTCATTTATGGAACGACTGAGTGTTACATATGGATACAACGCGTCCAGTTGGCTATCGTGTCGCTCGATGATTATTCTCAATTATGCAGCGAGAATTAATAAGCATCTTTTCGAGCGCGGTCGTATTGTTACTTCGATAACGATAAAGATACCAACACAGCTAATGCGAGTTATTGCACTTGCATTCTGGCTATTAATAACTTAATACGATAACATTCCACCTCTCTCATTTTCCACGCAAATACGCACAGAAGATAAAATGTATCGGAAGATACACATACACACACACACACACACACACACACACACACACACACACACACGTGCGCAGGATTACGGCTTGTGTTAAGTAATAATTAAAGCGCGACTATTATGCATCGTATATTTCAGGCGATTTATCTTCATACCGCCGAATTACTCTCCGGCTATGTTAACGGAAGATTTTCATGGAAAATTTAGTTGTAAGATAAGGCAGTGTTGTTTTTTATCAATATATCATCGATGCAGCGTAGATTACATTGTTTATTATTGTTCGTTTACACTCGGACACGCTGGCACTTTTATTCTTTAATTGCATATTACTTTTTATCAGATACGTTTTCGTTTGTAACGGTATTTATTCTAAATCCTTCTGTCGCGATACAGGAGCATTACGCCAGATAAACAATGTAATTTACCCGTATCTTTCGTCGTATCTTTCGCCGTATCTCCTGTCGCTTTGGTATAAAAGCAAGACAGACGGAATTGCCATCAGAAGACGTTTATTTTCCGACACTTTGTAATCTCGTGCTTAAAGTAAGAAGCAGCCTTTTTATTGTTTTTATAGTTGTTTATCAGATCGAAGTGTCTTTCCTCGTTCGTCTATACCTGCTGGTAAAATTTTAGAACATAGAAAGTCAATCGGAATAATTGCGAAGCGTTATACATTCTTGGACCATAAAATCGATAGCTAACATTTTTAACTGTTTTCAATGTAGATTGTTAAATCAATTCTTCAATAATTCTCTACAATTGCCGTTGTTTCTAGAAAATGTCGCAGTATATAGCAATTATTCTGATTGAGAGTTTATTTTGTATATTTAATATTTATTATTATTTAATATATTCTCTCTCTAAGAATAATATATAATCTGAAATGTATAAAATTATAATGTATAATATGTATCAATGTATAATATTGACCCATTCGTTGGTGGCGAATAGGGTGACGGAAGAAATATGGCCATGCAATCCGTCAGGCAGAAGTTCCTGGGTGTTGTAAAGAAATCGAGTAAGGGAAGATTCTTAAGCTCCCAGCAAGTGATCGATCGCGACGACAAGTATGGTGGTATCCACTTCAAACCGCTACCAGTCGTTCTGACCCGAGGAGAAGGAGTCTATCTATGGGATATCGACGGAAAGCGCTACCTTGATTTTCTTGCTGGGTTCTCGACCGTCAATCAGGGTCACTGTCACCCGCGTCTAGTAAAAGTCATGAGAGACCAGGCTGGAAAACTGACGCATACATCGCGAGCTTTTTACTCGGAACCTCATGGTGAATTGGGAGAATACATGACAAAACTGCTAAAATGGGACCGATTTTTGCCGATGAACACAGGTATGCAATCAATATCCATTACCTTGCAAACTGTTATATAAGTGTTATATAAGTGCATCTGCTTATGTGAAATAATAATTTTAACAATCGCGAAGTACTTTGTAAAATAATGGCATATTAGTTAGATTTTCTACATAATAATTAGTAATTAATTATATATCATATTATTGTACATTTTTATTTAATGAAGACTAATAAAAAAAACGATTCTTTAAAATAATTAAACATCAGAATAAATCAATGCTGCTTGAGGTCAATCAATGCTTCATCTCGTTTTTTATTACCGAGTAAATATCGTTTTTATTGTGAGGAATTGCGAATTATTTTCTTCTGTTCGTTATAGGTGTTGAAGGTGGTGATACAGCTATCAAATTGGCCAGACGCTGGGGATACAGAGTGAAGAAAATACCGAGTGACAAAGCTACCATCGTATTCGCGAGAGGAAACTTCTGGGGTCGTTCATTGGCGGCTTTGTCAGCCTCGACGGATCCGAATTGCTATACAGACTTTGGTCCTTACATGCCGCTCTTCGAAAAAGTGTCGTACAACGACCCGGCTGCGTTGGAGCAAAAGTTCCGAGAAAATCCCAATATCTGCGCGTTCATGGTTGAACCTATTCAGGGAGAAGCTGGAGTCGTTGTGCCTACTGTAAGTTAACGATAACGTATCAATAACGTATTCATAGTGTTGCATTCTTTAAATTCTCTTTTTCAGGATGGCTATCTGAAACGCGTGAGGGAGTTATGCACAAAGTATAATATCTTATGGATCGACGACGAGGTGCAGACCGGTCTTTGTAGGACCGGTATGCGTTTAGCAATCGATCACGAAGATTGCAGACCGGATATTCTGATTTTGGGGAAAGCGCTTTCCGGTGGGATGTACCCGGTTTCCGGTGTTCTGGCGGATGATCAGGTACTCAAATATTTCGTCGTAGCCACTAAAGCTATTTGAAGTGTGTCTACGTGTCTTCCACTCGCAATACGCGTGCAATAAAAAAATATTTTAGATATTATTCCATTATTTTGAATAGTTTCAACGACCACAGTTATTTGTAAAATTATTTGAAAAATTATCACTGGTGGAATTTTGTGCGGAAGATTATTGTTACGTAGAAACTTCAAAGTATTATTACAACGTTTAATGTTAATTGCAAATTCGTAACGATCTTTATGCTTTTAGATAATGTTCTGTCTGCAAACGGGTTCGCACGGAAGTACTTTCGGCGGAAGCCCACTCGGAAACCGAGTAGCCCTGGAGGCGGTTAAAATCTTAGAGGAGGAGAATCTGGCGGAAAACGCAAAGAAGCTTGGGAAAATTCTGAAAGAAGAATTGAGCAAAGTACCGAAGGATATCGCGACGGAGTTTCGAGGGCGCGGTCTCTTGGCTGGTCTCGTGATCAATAAAGGTACCGGGATCATCGTAAACAAATTGATTAAGCTTAATAGCTTAATCATAACAGCTAAAGCATAACAGCTTAACGTTGATAAATCATGGCAACTTAAATCGACAAATTAAAAATGCGATATGAATCACGAACTCGAATGAAGATGAAATATTCCGAATTCAGCGGTGAAACTAAAATTCTCCGCGATGCTCGCGTAGAAATCCAAGTCTTGCAGTCTAGCAATTTCGTCTCACATATTTGCCCTCGATAATTGTGCAAATAAGCGTAACGAGAGGATGAATAAACCGCATGTCGAGTAATACTTCTCTACGTTATGTAACGAGAAATTGGATTTTATTACATGGCCGCACGAGAAACACTCAATAATGATACAATTTATTTGCAGAGTTTGCAGACGGTTGGGATATCTGTCTGAGGCTGAGAGATGCTGGCTTGTTGACAAGACCTGCACACGGACAAATCATTAGAATATCGCCCCCGTTAACGATCACGGAGGAGCAACTGCGAGAGGGAATAAACATTCTCACTACGGTTCTAAAAAGCTATAAATGAAGAACTCGAGCATATTCCACGACGTGGATTTCTACAGCTAGTAAACGAGTCAATTTCGTTCCGATGTTATTTTCTATTGAAAGACGCTTTTATCGTCTCGCTAAGATTCCCCGACTTTTCTAATAAAAGAATAAGAATAAAAATAATATAAAAGTGAGATTTCGAGAGAAAATAAAGACATCAGTATGTGTACATATGTTACAATTTATCGGTTTTTAATTACATGTGCGACTCGTTGTGCTTCTTCAAGTGCCTTGTCAGACTGAAAGACTGCGAGAACATTTGGTTACACTGATTACACTTGTACGTTTTCGTGCCAGTATGCAAATTCAAGTGCCGTTTCAAATGATTGGCTAGCTTGAACCTCTTCCCGCATAACCGACACTGGTGTTGCCTCAAAGTGCCGTGCGAGGCTTCGTGGCTTTTCAAGTGGCCCGACTGCGCAAATCTTTTGCCGCACAATTTGCACGCGAAAGGTTTCACCTTGGTGTGAATTCGCAAATGCTCGACTAGATTACCTTTCTGCACGAAACGCTTGTCGCAATACTCGCACTTATGCACCTTTGACGTCTTGTGCGTTCGTAAATGCATCTTTAAATTATAATTATGGCTAAACTGTTTATCACAAATCTCGCAATGTACCAAACCCTTCCCCGTGTGAAGTTTCTCGTGTGCCTTCAGATTTTTCAAAAGGCGGAAACGTTTGTTGCAAGTACCACATTCAAAGTCCTTACTCTGCGAAGCGTTGTCACTCTTATTATGTACCTTTATATGTTCCTCTAAATACGAAGGATATGAAAATATTTTATCGCACACTTTGCACTGATGTACATTGGTTTTGGTGTGCAATCTCATGTGCGCGTTGAGTTTGCTTTTCGACGCGTAGGCCTTGCCGCAGCTGAGGCACTTGAACGGCTGTTGACCAGAGTGAGACAATTGATGAGCGAATAATTTAGATTTTTGCGAGAATTGTCTCGAACATACCTCACACTGATGCTTTTTCGCGTGAATATCATCCGCGCCCTTCGCCTCGAGGGGTTGCTTATAATTATCGTCCGCCGGGCATCCGTGATATCCGATTATGTGTTGCCGGCCCTTTTCGGACGCCTTTATAAATGTCAAGTTCTCCGCGATCGATACGTCATTCTCAGAATGCATCGTTACATTTTGCAAACGTTCCGAGCTGCTCTCCTGAACACCATCCAGGTCAATATTCTCGGGAAAATTTAAATTCTGTATTTCGTCGTTGTCATCTACAGTGGATCTTTGATAAGACAGATTCTGAATGGGATTATCGACAGAATGAATGGACCTCTCGTAACTGAGATTTTGCGGGATATGATTGGAGTTCTCGCAGATCTCGATGTTCTCGTTATCGCACGAGATATCAACATTATCTGTGCTGTGCGCGATATTGTGACTTATCAATTGTCTCCTGTTGGTGAAAGTGTGATTGCATAAGGAACAATGTAAGGCACACGCGGCTCGACTAGAATTTTCCTCGTTCAATGGCATGGTATGCATTACATTTGGCCTAACTAACGGGGATAGTTGCGTGTTTGGAATACTGTCGTTGGCAAAATTCGAACCGACATGACCAAAATTGAGATAGGGATTTTGAGATTCTACTATGTGCATATGTTGCATGGGTATGTTATCCTGAATGAAGGATAAGTGTAGTCGGCTATGGGCACAGAGTTCTTGATAATTCATAAACACAGCGCCACATTCTATGCACTTTAGCGTCTTGTGAGAATTCTGTACTGGAACAAATCCTTGATTCTGTTGATTCTGATACAGCTTGCAGCCAGAGACAGTAGTATATGATGTTAATCCAGATACCTGTTTGAATAATATAGTGTTTGTTTATGTATAAAAGAGAGTAGAATAGAAGAAGATAATTTGACCGTAATAATAAAACAAAATAGAACTCGATCCCATCTATATTGTTACATATATTGTAATAATAAGTCTTACATCTTTACCTTCAAGGCTGCTTGTCTCAAAGCCCTATCTGCTGCACGACATTGTTCTCTATACAAAAGAGCCGACTCTGCTCTGGTGACACAACGATCACACATTTTCTCAGGCAAACCATCTCCTTGCCAGACCTGTGCATATTCGAAACATCCACAAATTGAGTATTTCGACAACTTTAATTTGCATATATCATGAGTAAAAAGTGTGTTATTTACCTCTAAGCACGAGAGGGATCGTAATTTGGCGGCGAGGGATGAACCAGCAGGACCCATGAATAAACATACCATTTTGTCGCCGTCCTCTCTTAAACACGTGCGACACAACTTACTGATGTTCTCGCTGTCAATTTCCTTCGTGACTATAAACATCCTTCCACTGCTTTCTGAACTGTTACAGTGGAAAATATCGCGCGACTCGCGTGTGACGGTAACCCCTGTCGCAGATCATGCTCTTATTTTGACGTTTCTAGACGCCACGCGAACCGCCATTTTTTCCTTCGTTCCGCATAGTCCATACGATTGACGCGAGATGTCGCCACCATGTCGATGGAAAAGCGCGACGCGGCGCCACTCGGTGCGTCAGCTTCGGTTAGTCTCGTTCGAACGCATAACAAACCGCCGCAGTGGTTTCGTGGAAACGGTGAAATGAGCGGAAAGCTTACCGGATTAACGCTCGCGCTGATAAGTTCGTCGATCGTTTTATCGCGACCGCAGTTCGAAATGCATGAACGCGCGTTATGCGCGCGTTAATTCGCGCGACTATGCGCCGACTATGAGACTGGGATATCGACTCGCTCGCTGGGGCTTTCACCGGCTTTCACTGCCAAGGTAAATTGTTTTCTTTTAATCTCGTATTGATAATTTGATGTTTAGCGAACGCGCCGGAGCGCTGCACGCACAGTGCGATCGAACATAATCCGTATTCTCCATTTTGCTCTCGCACTCCATTCTACCGTAACATAACCAACTGTCTTCTATCTGAAACCGTTACAGAAAGTTTCCGAGGGGCTCCATCTTACGAGACGTGTATATTCCTTTGGACAGTGCAAATTTGTACAGCGTTGGAATTCGCAATCAAGTATTTGAGTAAGTCGCAATCTATTGTATGCGAAGTGATATTTTGTCTCAAGTAAATTCGCATGTTATTTTCTGCGCTAATAATTAAAGCGATATATATCTGTATACTGGACAACGAAGTGATTGCGATTGGAATATATCGGCGTATCATTTTTCTATCGCTTTGAACGCAAACGACATTACGCTCGTTGACAAAATGGCGTGCGAAGAAAGTAATATTGGCGCGCAAAAGCGCCGTTTATAGATGGACATTTCATTTCATCCGACGTGATTTATAGCGATTTAAGCATGGCTTGATAACTGCCGCTGACTGCATTGATCCCGTTAATGAAATCGGCGGATAATATTGACAGAGTACTAATTGGATAAATAACGTTATCACCGAAATACACGTACTTGATGTCGGTTATATCGCGCTGAAAAACGCGTCGTTGAAATTTATTCCAAACAACGACCACGCAAATCTCTCGTATGCTTCGTAATATGACTCGTCGTTTCTTTTGCAATTTTAACGCGACTAGCCGGTAGAAAGGCACTACTTCGCTTTTAAATTCTTTTCAAGCAATCTCACACTGTCATTCTCCAGGGACTGCATTCACCACAATCTCCGTCAAACTTGAAAAAACAGGGAAAGATTTTAACATATTAACGTTGCAACAATTATATAGTATCAGTGGCGTAGGTAGAAAAAAAGGTTCGGGGGGGGCTGTACTTTTTATTTTTGACGAGCAAAAAAAAGGTCATTTGAAAAAATTTTTTTTACACTTAACCCAGAAAATTAATTTTGGGGCTGCAGCCCCCTCAGCCCCCCTCGGCTACGCCACTGTGTAGTATGTATTCAAAGTTAAATTTCCTCAGCCATTAATTTATTTATTTTTTAATTAAGATCGTATAGTTAAGATATTTATAACTACAAAGAAATGATATCAACCAAGTCTCAGTGGCTGACTCGAACTTAGCTAAAAAGCTATTTTATTGCCAAGACTTGACTGTCACAGTTGAATTGCTAAGAAAGTGGCAGCTATTTGTAAATATCTCGCTATCTCCGCGAGAGAGTGAATCTCGCAGCTTTTTTTTGTTTCATATCGTTATGTTGACTTATTGATGTATAGTCGTTTAAAAAATTGCAGCATATCAACATCAAGTTTGGCCTTAAAATTCGCACTTGTGCGACGTTCTCACGCATCGGCGTATGCCTATAAAGTGAGGTGAACGACCGCGAGATGCAGCGAGCAAGGGGGGGGGGGACGGAAGCTAGGCTTATCTGAGGTGCGAGGTGGGGGAAGCGAGCCGGGTCGTCTCGCGCCGTCTCGCGCCGTCTCGCATTCCGTGCAAGGTGACTTTCGGAAGCACTAGTCGCATTCCATTCACGCGTCGCGTCGCGCCTATTCACAGCTGGCTGCGTAATAACGCCGTACGATCTAAAACGCGGATCGATACAAGCGTCAATAACTCCACTTGTAGACGTCGAAGCGACTTGAAACAAGAACCATCGCCAAGGGGAGATCATCGCGCTCCCGGTGTACATGAAATCGTCCTTCTGCGGAATAAAGATCAAACAGCGACATCGTCATGTGAGTACAAAAAGCATCGGTTTTTATCTTTGCGTTAAAGTGAACGTAATTATTAATTCATGTTAAAGACCAATGAGAAACCTTGGTTTGGATTTGCAATGCGAAATGTCGGTTTTATATTCTTGATGGGTATCGTGTGCAGCTTGAAAGAAAAGCGGAATGATAGTAACGGGGACTTTTTATCTGGTAGAAAGTATTTTCTTCCGCAGCGTCAAAGTTTGAACGGTTAATAAATTTAGTTTTAACAGCAACGACATTAGTTATATCTAATTTCAATAATGCATCTTACAAGTAAACTACTTCTTCCTACTTCAAAAGTTACACTCCGATTTCTTTTTAATTCGGCACAAATGTAGAAGTACAAAAAATATTTAGGTCATATTTTTTTCATTTTGCCCCTTTGAGTTTTACGAGCAGTTTATAGCTTCTTAATGTTTTTACTCCTATCATCAACAAGTGCAACAAAAATAAATAAAAAATAAAATTTAATACAAGATATAGGCGTTTTTGGTTTGCTAATTATAAATATGAGGTCAAGTGTGTAAAATTATTTGTATAAATAATAAAATATTAAAATATTTAAACAAAACATGTAAAAAGTTGAAAAAATTTATTTATATAAATAATTTCTCGGTTTAACTGAGATTTGAACCATTTTTTATTAATTTAACACAGATTTGAAATATTTCGGTTGGAATATCGGCTAAAGAAAACGGTTCGTATCTCAGCTATGCCGATTTTGTTAAAATTATTTAACTATATCTTCTATTAAATTTTATTTCTTATGCATTTTTGCTGTACTTAATGATAAGTATAGTGTGAGAATATTAAAAAGCTGTAAACTTAACTGCCCGTGAAACTCAAAGACCAAAATAAAAAAATATGACCTAAATATTTTTGTACTTCTATATTTGTGCCAAATTAAAAAGAAACCAGAGTGTATCTTTTGGGTAGGTTAGCTATATTTTAACTTTTGCAGTTCATCTTTTTTTTGCGTATATGAGAAAGTAGAAAAGAATATAAATCGATTGATTATATACCACATGAATTTTTTATTTTCCAATTAATTCCTATATTTTTTTCTTTGCTTCTTTATATACGCAGAACAAGGATTAATGGTATTAGGGCTTAGCAATATTAAGAACCATCCGAAAAAGTAAGAAAATTCTATAAAAATTTTCAGAAATTGTAAACTTCTAATCGAATATTTTTTGAATGTTTTAATTTAGATATTATTAGGGAAAATATAGAAAATTAAAGCGACGAAATTATAATCGGCACATCGCGTTTGTTTATCAGCAAACAAATTCGTCGCTAATAACTCGAGCCTTGTGAAATGGCGCTTTAATAATGCGCGCATCAATTTTTGGTAAAAGCGCTCGTGAATAATAGATTCGACAACTTCGCATCAATGATCTGAAAGTCTCGCGGTAAATATTTGCATTCAGCCGATGTAACGCGCACGCTGTAAATGTATTTACAGCGAATTTTCCGCTAAATTAATTTACCCGCGCAAATACGAATTTTCTGTTCTAATTCGCGGAACAGAATTCGTACGTGTACGCAAAATTCGTAATGCAAGATGATTACAAATACAGACGAGTGCATTCTTAAAAACAAATAATACATAATTAGAAATGACACAAGTACAAAATGTGACTCGCGAACACAAGTACAAAAGGTCTGGAAAATGAAAATCCAGATTAAATCTTGCATGAGGTAAACGGGATGCGAATTACATAAGAAATGGCCCTGAAACTGGCATGAGTTTTTTCAACTGAAAAATTCACGGCTGAAATAAAAAATACATAGCATACTGTGACATACCTGAAGAAAAAATGTATAGGAAAATTACATCGTCGCAAATTGGAAAAAATATATAGCTTAGCATATCGAAGAATTACAATAGGGCGGAATTTATTTGCGTGATTTTGATCGACGCGAACAAACCAAATTTATTGTTTAATATTTAATCGTTTCTCATTTAAATGCCAATATGAGACGAATTTTTCTATATTCGAGGAACGCTTTAATCTTAATTTGTAGGTAGTATCTCTAAGTAAGTTTTCGAGGCGTGATGAAATTCCGATAACTTTCAAATTGATTTATTACAAAAGTGCGTTGGGGCACAGCGCGAAAAGCGTATCGTAAAAATCTTAGTGGTGTATAAAGTGTATAACAAAAAAAAAAAAACAAAAAAAAAGAGAGAAAAAGAATAAACGGGTGCAGTTTTCCCGATAAAAGCAAGTGAAAAATTCCCGAGTAACAATTGTGAAAAATGCCGTCCCCGAGACAGTATACAAACAATCGTTGAAAGTACGGTGTTCCTAGGTTTAATTTACGAAAAGCATTTTCTTCGCATCGTTGTGCCATTGAAATCTAACAGATTGCACGCTTAACCTGCTTCGGAGTTCACCGCGGAAATACATCGCGGATAATACTTTCAACCGGTATACCGTTGATGATGATTCGCGAGGGGGAGGGAGGGGAAAGACTCCACGATAGTTCTTTATTCCCGTCGCGGAGCGCGATGATAGAGATTGAATCTCCTTGCTTTGAGACGGCTCTCCGCGGATCCATACGTCTTCTGCGGAAGATTCGATCTCTCGTGCGTGCATACCTACATGCGTGAGTATGTCAATCTGTGTGTATGTGTGTGTGTGTATGTGCGCGCGTGTGTGTATGCTGTGTATTCGAGCCGTGATTTAGACGTACGGGTAAGAGAACGGGCGAAATTTCCTGTACGAGTATTCTCGAACGAGTTTTCCGACAAACTCGATCGCTGAGGGACAGGAAAACTTGCGCGTGTCTGTGCCATTATACGCGAATGCGGATTATTGCGG